CCGAACACCGGGGAGAAAGATAAAACTCCTGGTGTAAGAATCCAAGGTGATCAGACAATTAAAACAAGATGGCCTAATCAATTCGTCCACTTATGAAAGAATTAGACCGTTCGGGACCACAATACCTCGGCTATGTGGACTACCTAAGATCCACAAAGAAAAAGCGGTCTGATCAGCCGCCCGGTGCCCGAGTGTGTAGCATGCTTGCGTTCTGCCTGTGAGGTCTCGGGTTCGATCCCCAGTTGTGTCGATGAATTTGAACGGCTGATGAGACCCAATCAGGTTAAAACAGTGCTTCCGGTGCTTTGTAGCTTTTCAGTTCAACCTTCATTTTCTAGATGCATGACGAATTTCCCCTTAGAAATTGAATCAGATCCTACTTCGCTCACTTGAAACAAGTAGTTTTGTTTCGAATGTTTCCAACCGAGTGATAATCCGGCGGTTTTTCAAACTGAACTGAATTGGTTAGTGCTGAGATGAGTGAGGTCTGTGGCCCGCAGCAAGCAACGAAGACCACTTTCTGCATCAGAAAATCATGGAAACTGTATGGAATTCCCTCAAGCGCTCCAAATTAAAACTCGTCCAATACAGGAACAATATTAGTCCGTACCTTACTCAACTTTTAATTACTAACACAAAGGAAAGATACCTGCGTTATAAATTTTCTTCCACGATAATTATGAATTTATTTTTGTTTTTTATAGGTAACCACAGTCAAAGTTCCTGAATTGTTTAGAATCCTCCCTTTAGGTGCATGAGGCGTTTTTTGACTTAACTTGTCTGTCTAGTTGTCAAGACCGTCAGTCTTTTAAAGGTGACTGTTACATAGGGTATACACCAGGGGGTTGAGAGTCCTTAACCTGTTGTTTCAGTTTTATATCAACATCCTAACCTCTTAGGGTGAATACCTCATTCTATTATATGGATCCGATGAACGCATTCGATCAATGATGTGAGCCTACTGCAACAAGGGATGGGACTTTTGCACAGTTAACACTAGCGAGAATATCGTTGGCCGCCTTCAATCCTTAGCCTGATCAGGTAACTCAGATTCACCATTTGGTATGGGGTCGCTCATCTTAAATTAATGTTGTCAAGAAACAACCAAATTCGTGGTGACCTCAAACGAATGAGATTGAATTTCGTCGATTCAAAATCAATTGTAAAATATTCGCCAACTTTGCCTGTTTACTGTTAGTTCTTTCTTCACCACTTATCATTACTTGATGCATATAATATAAAGCAATAATATAAAGAGATACGTGTTGTTAAGAAAACTGGGAGCATTGCTTCCGTCATTTAAAGTTGTAAACTTTATTTCGTTCATAAACTAATTCCATGCCACTGGCTTGAACGAGAACACAATTTTTCGTCATTATGGCACATTAAGTTGGTTTTTCGAATATGATTTCTGCTTGATCGCTTTCGAGTAGTGTTTTGTGACTTATTAAAGTTTGGGGATAGAAAAACAAATTCGAACTACTGTTTCCAATGTCGTTCATTATGAGGGTAATTCTTATTTCTAATTTTTTATCGTTAAGCTGAATTAATTTCATGATTCATCTGATAGATTTTTCTCTTTTACAGTTTCTACATTCCGATCGAGTTCGCTTTGACGCAGCCGATTTGGACAAGAATCATCAGCTCTCAGCCTCGGAGCTTGCAATGTTCCTATGGCCACAACACTATCCTTCCCTGAAACAAACACAGGCCTTGATGATCCTCGCTTCTTTAGATACAAATCAAGATATGGCGGTCACCATGGATGAGTTCGTGGGTGAATGTGAGTTATTCTAGTACCTCTTTTACCAGTCGTATTTACTGATATCTGGCCTTTGTTCTTGGAAAATAATTCTGTACCAAACTGTGTATTTCCCTAAACCGCTTTATTGTATTTTCGGACAACTTTGAATAAAATTTTGTTCTAGTCTCAACTTTTGTAAACTGTTTCATTTTATTTCATTCTACGCAAGAAATACAAACGAAAAGTATGCGAAAATCCAAATGAATTTAGCCTGTTCAAAAGATTGTTATTCAAATCACTGGTTTCTTAACAAGTACCACTGAAGTTTTGGTACAAAAAGCCAACGTGTACTCTGTGCAAAAATTTGAATATTACCACTTGTTTCGTGAACCGAAAACTGTATTATATTCATTGCCGCATATTTTTATATTGAACAGGGAACGCAACATGGTGCGGTTACAGTGTTTATCTGCTGTATTCAATAGCATCTTAATGGCGGGNGAACATTTGGGATTCAAGTATATGAATAAAAGGATGAGAGACTTCGAGATGCACCTAACTGACGAGCTCAAACCATCGATAAACTGTTTTTTTTTCAGTAAAATTTTGTCCACTCATTCAGAGGCTACTTATAACAGCACATTTTAGCCAGATTGGTTCCGGTCGCTTGAGTCTAACCCCCGAAACCTAAATTCGAATCGCAGCTTTGACTAATGATTGGACTACCAACGGACAGTTCGTCCGCAAAAACCATGGTGGTTAGATCATAATATAAAAGTTCCAGAACTGGACATAAAAATACTTTTATGCAGAAAAGAACGAAAAAGCCGTGAGATGAGCGGAGTCAATGTTTAGCCTGCATTCTAGAAACAAATAACAAGAATTACCGGGTCCTATTGAAACAACTATCAAACATGCTTCATCAAGCAGAACCAAATTAGCAAAGAAATAACTATTTTTCATTTCAGATGATGCTCCGTTGTTTCATTGCTAGCACATGCGTGACTTGTGTTTCGAGAATGTCTTTTAATTCCGATTGGTCTTAATTTATCAGGTCATACTCTTTAGTGTTTCGGCTTCTCATTCATACCAACTCAGGCTAGGTTTATCTATGCATTTGCGTTGTCGTCTTTTCACTTTACTGAGTTACGTAGTTATGGAATTAAGTTCGAACTGATAGCAGTTAACTAAACGAGGATGAATAGAAGCGTTTCACTCAATGTTTTTCATCGCCATGTGGGGAGAAACGGTTGAGTTAGATCCAATCCGTAGTGTTTTACCTGTTTTACTACACTTGTTGGATAATTATGTTTTACTGAATTGACCGAATATCTTTTCATATGTAGCCAGGGCCAATGAAAGTATTGCGCTCCACGAATGTGCACTATTTTGCATCAGCAGTCTCCATTGTTTTCATATAATTCCATTTCAAAATACTTGAGTGTTACAGGATTAAAGTTAACGTAAATGCATTGTTCTCGGGCACTTATATTTTTTTACCAACTCCTACACGAACGCCAAAATTAGCTGGTAGTGTAGCATTGCTTATGGGATTGTTCACAATGAAGTAGTATAATTTGATGGATGACTGAACTGAAGACCTTCATCCAGTCGTGACTTCAATGAATCGATGGTAGGTGCACAAACAACTTGAGGTGGCAGAGAGTTCCAGGTGTCGCAAACTCTGAGGCTGAAAGAATGACGCCTGCAGTCTAACCGGCTCTTTTTGAGCAGAAGTTTAAATGGATGTCCTCGAAGGTGTCCATTCCTGGATAGTGTTAGCTGAGTACTACACGGGTGGTTAGGTTGATGTAGCATTTGATAAACGAGGATCATGTCTCCCCGTATTTGACGGTATTCAGACAAATAGAGTCCGAGAATTCACAGCCTTTCACAGTAGGTGTTAGGTTGTAACCCACTGACCATTTTGGTTGCTGTTCTATGCAGATGTTTGAGTGCCTTTTGGTCGCGAATCAGTCATGGATTCTAAGCCTGTATAGCATACTCGGTGTGTGGTCTAATGTATGCCGATAATAAACGGGACAACAGGCATGTTTCGAATGATCCCAAAACACACTTTAGCAATCCAACGTGTTTTATAATATTTGAAGACGCTCTTGTGCAATGTGTGGAACAGCCTAGATTCTCAAAAACGGTAACTCCCAGGTCCTTTTCTTTTGGAGAACGCGGCAATGGCTGAGTTCTCAGAGGCCATATTGCCAATCACGTCAGCTATCGATAACTGCTTAGTATGATATGCCAGCACTTTTCCCGATCGAGCATAACCTCCTTTTCAATTAAAAATCCTCTCAAGTATGGATGTTGTTATGGTCAGTACATTGACCAGCTGTGAGATTAATTAGATCGCAAGCGGAAGATTTTATAAATTTTAGATTACAGAATGCTTTGAATCAGAACGTGCATTGAAATATCCCTCACGCTGACAACTTATTTGGTTCAAACTATAGTGCTGAGAATATATGAATTGATTTCGCCCAAAAAAATGGAAAAATATAGTACGAAATGTACCAGTACTCTGTGTAATAAAACACATTTGCCTGATGTTTCGATTAACTTTAAACTTTAAACTTTTACACTATTTAAATTTTCTAAAACATAAATATATGGAAAGACTGACATTAGTCCACTATATGTGAACCCACAGTCTGTATTCAGACGTATGTGAAATACATATATATACCCTAAGAAAATCTCTAAATATCCTATTTTTATCAATAAGTTTCACAATCTTTTGGTTTCCTACCAAATGAAAACTTATCATCAACTTGGTTCAGTGTTCGTTGTCTCATGTGTCATTGAGAGAAATGTTTCATGTAATTAAAGTTGAAATTAAAGAAATTGGGGATTTTTCTTCGCCTTTCTCTCTTATTTCGTGTGTTACGAATGCGGAAATATAATAAATATTTTTTTAATGAAATATTTCAGGTAAAGTACAACATTCAGGCTTGCTTTAATCTACCTGCTCGTTTATTCTATTCCGGTTTATTTTCCTGTGTTGTTCTTTCGTGTGAAATATAACCATTTCAAGTATATCTTCATTTGCCACAAACGGCCTGTCCCATTCATAGCATCTGGGGCACATCGGCTTCCCGGAGTAATGGATTCAGCCAAGGATCATTTCATACACTTGGACAGAGACCAAAATGGTCGACTGACCAAAGAAGAACTTGAGTTATGGTTTGGACCAAGTAAGTCTGTTTTTTCCATTTCCATTTTCATTTGGGCATACGTGTTCGACTGACGTCAACTGTGCATCCAATTTCTCCTGTGGCGAGCTCTGTTCATTCGCCTGCAATACGTCGCGCTAGCGGATTAAATGTAGTCCCACTGACGGACCATAGATGCACTAAACTTGACACGATTTTCAAATTCACGAAGAATAAAACAACAATAGAACAAGGAGTGGCGAACAAGCTCGTTTTCAGTGATTCGTAGTCATGCCAAATACATCACAATAAATATTACGCTGTTTATATATAAATCGGTATTCAATCATAAAAAACGTAAACAAATGTTTCGGGAAAGGGAAAATAACCTCGTGGGTTATCTGGGGCTACGTTCATCTTGGGACCGGATATGGAATTCTCAATGATCGCATGATTGTTAGGTCATCCGATCGTTGGGACCACTCGGAATACGGGGTGTATAGGGGGTGGGCCAGGGGAGCTTAAGCGCCTGCACAAATTGTTTTTGGGCACACAAAGGGGGGTGGTGCAGCCGAATTCCTACCGCTTCCGCTGTGGCTAGCATACGACAGCGAACCTGCCTTGATAATCGACCACGAACCCGATACAGGGGGCGGAATGCCTCGGTCACATTCACAGTGTGATTTGTTTCA